CGAACGCACGCTTAATCGCTTGTCAATATTTACTTTGACATATTGCATACATCTTGTGCACAGTTATTTACCAATGACTGTGTGGATCGCGGAAGACGAGGAACGATCGCATATCTAGACGTTATTTTACGTATCGATGTATGATTCGTCTTTCGTAATACGACGTAGAAATCGCAAATATTACACTAAGAAAAATCATTTGATTTGTACCAACAAGACGTATATGATTGAAGGCATTTTGGTTAAATCAAACAAGAATTTCTAGTTATCATGATAAGACTCGATTTTTTATAACTAGAACGTTTATTTCTTTGCTTTAAGAAAATTTGAGGATGTAAGGATCTTTCAACTGTATGCGTGGCTTTGTTTGAAAACAATTTTAATATAAATTTAATATAAGTTGCAATATATTTTAATATAATTTATCAATATTTATTTTTAATATAATTTATCAATATATTTTAATATAATAATATATTGCAATTGTACACTGAGAAAAATCGTTTGATTATATCAACAAGACGTATATGATTGAAGACATTTTGATTAAATCAAACAAGAATTTCTAGTTATCATGATAAGACTCGATTTTTTATAACTAGAACGTTTCATAGATTTTATTATAAGGATTTGGTTAATATTTTCTGGTTGGATCTATACAATTTCTTGTTACATTAATTTCTTTGCTTGCTTCTTAACTTAACTCGTATTCAATATTTGCCATGAAATGTATATAAAGAATTAGTATTAACATTAAATCCAAAGTATATTTTTTTTCTCTTACGAGTAGTAGTACCAGAAAGAGGACGCTTAGCTCTCTGATTGTCTGTGTTTGAGCTGCATCCTCTTCTTGCAATCACTGTTTATCAGTTTAATTTCTAACAAACTGAATTTAAAATATTTTATTCAATAATCTGGATTAAATTTATCCAATAATCTTGTTGGAATTCAAAATATTCACAGACAGATTTTTGAGATTAGATGGAAAAAATTTTAGACGACTTGGTGCTGGTGAATTTAGTATTATTAACGAGAAAATTTGATAAATTTAACAGGAAGAAATTAATCATATTCATCTGGTAATTCCTACAAGAATTTTGGTTCGTCCATTTTCCAACAGACATACTGGTTGAGCCAGATTTTTTCTCAGTGTAAAATCTGAACGAAAGAGAATGACAGACGTTTCGAGATGAACGAGCGTCGATCATATTTTGCAAAAGTCAGTTTTTATTTTATAAAGGATCTTCACACTGAGAAAAAGATCTGGTTGCTTTAATTAGAATTCTAGTAGATTCAACCAATATGTCTGTTGTAAAATGAATGAATCAGAATTCTTGTAGGAATTACCAAATAAATCGGATTAATTTTTTTTTGTTAAATTTACCAAAGTTTCTCGTTAATAATACTAAACTCGCCATCATCAAATCGTCTAAAATTTTTGCATCTAATCTCAAAAGTCTGTTTAATATTCTCAATCCCAACAAGATTATTGGATAAATTCAATCCAGATTATTGAATAAATTATTTTAAATTCAGTTAAAAATTAAACTGATAAACAGTGACGCAAGAAGAGGATGCAGCTCAAACACACACAATCAGAGAGCTAGCATCCTCTTTCTGGCACTACTGCTCGTAAGAGAAAAAAAATATACTTTGGATTTAATGTTAATACTAGTTCTTTATATACATTTCATGGCAAATATTGAATACGAGTTAAGTTAAGAAGCAAGCAAAGAAATTAATGTAACAAGAAATTTTATAGATCCAACCAGAAAATATTAACCAAATCCTTATAGTAAAATTTAATATTAAACATTCTAGTTATAAAAAATCGAGTCTTATCATGATAACTAGAAATTCTTGTTTGATTTAATCAAAATGTCTTCAATCATATACGTCTTGTACAATCAAGCGATTTTTCTGAGTGTACGAATTGAGGCGCGTCGAGGCCTGAAATAGAAAAATAAAAATGAAATAGAGAAGCCTGTATTTGCTATTGATTTCCCATCTTTTCATAGCCCGAAACATGCCCCGCATATATTTCAATGCCATGGAAATGGAATAGCCGACGTCACTCGGCGCGCTTGAAAGTGAATGGGAGGGTAACATCGCGTGTTTACATGCCAGATATTTGTCTTTCTATCTCCTCTGCACGGAACAACATTGGCTGCATCAGTTCCATTTCAGAGCTACCTCCCCTCATCTATCTTGATATCAGATTAAATTACATATTGAACGGAACGTCCATTCGGTCTTTGTCGATTTACGAAACGATGGACTCACTTGGAGTGTACATAATTTGCAAAGTAATATTGATAAATAAATGATAAAATCGAGCCAATGGGGGTTCCACTACGACGGACATGAGCCATCTCCGGGGATGAAGTTAGATGGGGTCAGTTTTCCCGGGTGTACACATCCAACTTTGGGACAGCCTAATTAAACTATACTTAATTATAATTCCACCGGATGCACATGTATTGCGGGCACGAGTATCGGGGCCATAAATTTAGTTTCTAATTAAAACGTTATGCTGATGTAATATCGAACGATAACGTGAATTTAATGTCCTCTTCTTATTTCTGAAATTTGTCTTTTCACCTTCGCGCCTGACGTTAATTCCAAGAAGTATAATTCACATTTAATGATTATTTTATCGCTAGATTTCTCTATATTTTTAATTATTCCTTAATTAATTCCACATCATTATCTTGCCATTAAAATTTCCATTTCATTATCTAAAGTAAATTTGACCGGCTTATGTCGAGTGTGTTTCTATTTCGTTACCGTTCATCTCTGGATATCTCTGCTTTCTCATTGACATTCGACTCACTCTCGGTTCAGGTCTAAATTAATCGCGAATTGAATGTCCGTTATATCTCTGACGTAGACACGCGTCAAGCGCTTCTGTTCGGCGGTCCGGTTAGATTGCTCCGAAATCAGCGAGCCAGCGAACCGGATGATTCGGATTCAGCATAAGTTACCGTCCGGTGGATATCCCTTAATTCTCGCGAACAAGCTAACGTTCGTCGCGATGCGTTCCCTGACATCAAAGCTTGATCCTGTGATATCCATGCGCCATTAATTCCGAAATGAGATTGAAACAAAATTGTTTTGTTTGGAATATCTCGCTGCACTTGTCAAAATTCGGATTTAACTCTCTCGGTTTTTTTTTTATTGCGAATGCGCGCAATAAAAATTTTGTGTGATATATATTTTAGTATATTGTATATATTTTATTGCAAATATATGTGTAATATATTGTATTACAAGGATAGTTTAAAAATAATTTTTATAACAATAAAAATGATATTGATCACTCGATGAACACAATTGAAAATTTGATAGTATTATTTTCTTTATCATATTTTTCGGGATATATTAATCGCAGCACTATTTACATTGCGAGGAATAAATAAAATTAAAACGCAAAAGAATAAATACTTTTTAATTAGTTTCATAAGTATTTTATAAGTATTTTTTAATTAATAGTTTAGCAACAGGAAACTTTTTTTATTGTGCAACTTTCTTTTTATTGTGATAAGACTAACAGATAAACGAACTGATGATAAGGAAGAAAATGATGAAAATCTTTATATTTATCTTTTTTATCGATACTATAATATTAGATTAAAATTGGAATAAAACATAATGAACTTTATGTCTTTATATTATATTAAATAACATATTTGTATTTTTATTAGGATTTAGATAATTATTTACAAAAAGTTACGTGTTTCTCTTTTCACAAATAATTCTAATTTCGACGTATAAAATATACACAGTGCTAACAATAAGCATACTCTTTGAATTAAACAAGAGCTGTTTTTAATTCAGACAGAGATGTGACACTTTGAAGTATGATATTCATCTAATTTAATAACTGTTGTTGCAAGCGCACGTATTTTTCGTACGAAGCAAGGTCAAGGTTATACATTGTTGTCTACCCGAAACGAAATCCAACTTCGTTTCATAGAGAAAACAGATATGTGAATGATGGATCACTAGAAATTCGACGCAAAGCGGATTAACGAATTTATTCTTAAAGTTCAAATCGTATTCATCTTCAATCATTAATCACATATTAGCATATATGAACACAAACAAGGAAAGACGGCACGAACGATAAACGTTTCCAATAATAATGATAACAAAATAATGATAACAAAATTTAGCCTAATCACATAAGATAACTAAAGTATGATGAAGTAAATAGTAAAATAGTTTTAAAGAAAAAAAACGCTACATCCTTGAAGATCGATCCTCACATATAAACTGTCTATGAAAGCTTAAAAGAAGCCTCTATATACACAGAGAGTGTCAGAGCAATCTGTTCCCAAAAAAAGCTCTTGTAGCTTACCTCGAGAGCTTTTCAAAACACTATAATAAAATATTTTTTCATTGAATACTTTTCAAGCTATGAGACTTGAAATAGTTTCTTAATTTTTATATAAACCATAAAATATCTAATAAAATATTCATTTTTCGATTATCTCACCTTAATACTTTTATGTAAAAAATTATATAATCGTTAATTGCAAATTATATATTTTTTTCTTCGAAACAATTATGTGTTTTTCACAGCGATTGATTCCTCTCGTTATTTTGTACAATGAATATTTTACTAGATATTTTATGTAAAATTAAGAGATTGTTTCAAGCCTCATAACTCGATGAAAAAACACTTTATTATAGTGTTTTGAAAAGCTGTCGAGGTAAGCTACAAGATCTTTTTTTGTGAACAGATCGCCCCGACAGCCTGTACACAAAAATTAAAACAATCCACGAAACGTAAATCTTCGTAAACAATTATATGCTAAAGAAAAGAAAGAAATATCGATATGCAAAACTAGATTTCGAACCTCATTCTTCGTCGCAGCTCGTGACGTACATACGCTGCCGACTCGGAGCCCGCTGATCTAGCGGCGATGGTGGGGGTTGGCGTAGATGGTGGGAGGAGTGGTGGGGGGAGTCGACGCGCGCGGCCATGTGCTCGCGTCGTAGACTCCCTCGTTCAGTCGACGCCGCGCGCTCGTGTCAGACGCACGTGACGTCGAGAGGCATCTCTTCGCGTTTCGCGAGTCAAGCGTGTTATATCGACGATACGAGCACGTATACGCACATTTAGCATATACACGCATATATACGGTGCGTGACATTCGGCGTGTCACGACTCCAAAGAGCGCGGCATCAATTCCTAATGCGCTTTCTCTAAGCGCACGCGCGATGACGAGGTTAACCGCGCGTAATCGTTTGTCGTATCCTTCGCGCGGGTGACGTGCTCTCGATCGCGAGGATTAAGGGGATTGTTTTTTTCTCGAGAAAATTAGTTTATTGCCGAAAGTTCATCTCGGAGTTGGCTTGGAAAATGCCAAGGTGATCCTCTCTTTCCTCTCGCTCCGCCCTCGTCTTCTTCGACTCTTCGAGGAAAGAAAAAAAAAAACACATCGTCGGTTCTTCGTCTCCGTTTTTCCGATCGTCCCGTCGATCGCGAGGTGGAATCGCACGCTGGATCCTCGATCGACTTGCATCGCCGATCGTGATTGAGAACCCCCGACCAGGATGCATCACACGGCGCCTTGGTATCTGCCCTGGGGCCTGAAGCTGGTGCCGCTGCCGATACCACCGGGACACCCGGCTTCTGGTATCCCGAATCCCGCTGGTCTGCACCTGCTGGCGCCCTTGCCCGGAATTTATGCGCCGGAACCACGTAAGGTAAGCTCTGCGAGCCTTGTATCCCTCGCCTGAGCGTCCTGGAAGTCGACTTCGGAATTTCGTTCCACTGACATTCTCCGCTATGTATGTGCGTATATGCAGAGTGTCACTTAAACTGAGTCGAAAAGTCCTGAACCATTTTTTTCTATAATGAAAAAAATTTGATCTTTTTTTGAAACGATTTTTTTGAAACGATTTTTTTTTGAAATGATTTTTTTCTTCTACAATACGAAAAATTTTATTTTGCATTAAAAATTATATTTCTTTCGTTAAGGATGTATTGGACGGACCGTTTGTCTCAAAAGTTAATCCAAAGTATCAAAAAATTAAAGTTGAATACGAATTCTAATTGATGAAAAATTAATTGACGAAAAATCACGAAAGCATACTTCAAAGTATTCTTTAATATAAATAGATCTTAATTTCTAAGAAAATGTTGCCACGTTTTATCATCAATATTGCATCAAACCGATAATCACAGTTATTTTTAAATAATAATTGCAAAACGAGCAAGTAAATCGTTTTAAAACTTTGTGGGAACATTTTTACGTGTATGAAGAATATAATATTACAAAATGAAATCTTTATCATTGTTTTTTTATAGTTTGCGAATAATTTATTACCTGTCTCTTGAACGTTTACATAAGATCTTATGTTAAAATCGCAAAATTCAAAAATTAATAACTTTTAAAAGAGCAAGTAAAAAAATTTGAAATAATTCATGACGATTTAGAATGTTATTAAGAATGTTAAATTAAAAATTCACGGCGATCTCATTGATTGTAATATATCTCCAATACATCCTTAAGAGCGTTTCCTTAAAGAAAATTTCATCAAGGAAGCTAAAGGTGGGTGCTCATAACTTTACTCAATAATTACCGCTTTATTAAGCATTATAGAAAAAAGTAGTTCAGGACTTTTCGACTCAGTTTTTCACGAGGAATATCGCTACATAAATAGTGGGCATCAATTAAGTGACACCCTGTATATACGTATACATGCATATTTCCATAAGATGGAAAATGTTGAAAGTGAATTACCGCGCAATGTTGGCGCAAAAATCGAGTTAACTAGACTATATAGAAGTTGGAAATTGGTTCCGGGTCCCTCAAGCGCGAGACAAGATCCAGGTATCTCGAATGAGAGACATCGCGTTTCTGTATTCAAGCTGCGAAGTTTTAATTTTACTTTGAGTTTCCGAGGTGTTCTCCAAGCTGGTTATCGCGCGTTCATTTCTGTTCATTATCGGCGAACGAGTTGGCGTTTGTGCTCCTCGCAAAGGCTCCGCTCATCGAGAGCCGTCCGAGTCCGCGGTAATTGAAAAGTTGCAAACGCTGTTTCGCGCAACAGGAACAGCGTCTTTTCTCCTTCGTAGAATCATCCACAAGACGCGAATTCGAGCGAACTCGATTCGTCAATGGAACACGTATATTTCCGGAGGGGGGCATGAATTTATTTTTATCTGATGATGCCGCGAACGATCTATATACATATCGGAATAGAGATCGTTTTATGAACGATGATCCGTTGATGAGACGGGTTACAGGCAATTGCATCGAGTGTTATACGCGATGACGTGATCGGCACAAGACGATGCGTTGCGTTCTTCTTCGTGAATCATTCTGTTTGGCGATCGAAACATTGGATTGTCCTCTTTTAATCAAAGCAAGGAAACTAAATGAAATGATAAATCGCTTTTCGATTTAAACAATAAATGTTATACGCGTTTTTTTTATCAAAGTAGTTAAATAGTTTGCATCTACACTGAGAAAAAAATCTGGTTGCATCAATTAGAATTCTGGTAGATTCAACTACACTGGAAAAAGAGTTTGTAAAATTACACATATAATCAGTGTAACAATTACGCTATTTATAACGGAAATATATAAATTCATGTACTTTTACAAAAATTAGTTTTTTTCTTCTTTCTTATTGTGTAAATATTCGTTTATATTTGATGGGAAATTACAAGGTTAAAAGTGTAATTTTTTGGATTTTATGTAAATGTACAATTTTTTGTAACATTTATATAAAATTTAAAAATTACACTTGATAAACGAATATTTACACAATAAAGAGTAAAATAACTAATAGTTAGAAATTAAACTGATAAACAGTGATGCAAGAAGAGTGCAGCTCAAACACACACAATCAGAGAGCTAACGTCCTCTTTCCGGCACTACTGCTCGTAAGAAAAAAAAATACTTTGGATTTAATGTTAATACTAGTTTTTTATATACATTTCATGGCAAATATTGAATACGAGTTAAGTTAAGAAGCAAGCAAAGAAATTAATGTAACAAGAAATTTGATAGATCCAACCAGAAAATACTAACCAAATCCTTATAGTAAAATCTATGAAATGTTCTAGTTATAAAAAATCGAGTCTTATCATGATAACTAGAAATTCTTGTTTGATTTAACTAAAATGCCTTCAATCATATACGTCTTGATGATATAATCAAACGATTTTTCTCAGTGTACAATTGCAATATATTATTATATTAAAATATATCGATAAATTATATTAAAAATAAATATTGATAAATTATATTAAAATATATTGCAATTTATATTAAATTTATATTAAAATTTTTTTCAAACAAAGCCACGCATACAGTTGAAAGATCCTTACATCCTCAAATTTTCTTAAAGCAGCAAAGAAATAAACGTTCTAGTTATAAAAAATCGTGTCTTATCATGATAACTAGAAATTCTTGTTTGATTTAACCAAAATGCCTTCAATCATATACGTCTTGTTAGTAGAATCAAACGATTTTTCTCAGTGCTCCGATATTAAAGAGTTATGTCGCAGATGTGTTTTATATTTTATATATATATTATAATATATTTATACTATTTCTGATAATATATAAGGGGCGGTATCCACAGTGAATCCTTTATATGTATGAGATCCATTTATAAATACATAATTAGATCTGTCTGTGTGCCAAATTCGATCCAGTTATCTGGCCGGTCTGTCCCTAGCGCGCTTCTATTCTAAGTAAAATCTAAATAGTCGGCGCGTAATAACACGAGAGCGAATGCATCTAAAATAACCCATATAATGCTGGTCGCGTGTATTAGGGTTAGCACGACAAGTATTCATACATGCTACATACGCGGCGAAGAGTCAGCAACCCTTTGCCAGGTTGTTTGAATTTATTCGCGATACGCGTCGGGATTAGCGGAAAAGGGGGGTTGAATATTTTACGCGGTTTCGTGAATTATGAGTCGATATTGCGGAGGCAAAAATTGGTCTGATATCGGTGATAAGCGAGCGAGCAATTTGTACGCGATGACTTCCATCAAGTTACATGATAAATGAATGTTCTTTCTCTCTCCCTTCTCCTTTATTTATTTCGCGACTTCAAAAAATGAAATGAAATTAAATTATCCTCCTTCTTTCTCTCTCCCTCTCTCAAATGAAAATTTCCTATAATAAAAGACATGAAACTTTCGCCGAGCGCGTGCTTCGTCAATATACCTGTACGTAAATCTCCTCCCACGTGTTGGATGCGTGCTAATAGCCTCTTAATGCTGTCGCGCTTAAAATATGCATTATTGATGATCTTGATGGGATGCAGCGAGAGAGCCTTTTTAATTCGGATCGAGAGTGATTCCATATATTGCTCGGGAAATTTATTCAGAATTGTAGGACGAGTATTTTCTGTAATCTTCGCGTAGGAGAAACGTAATCTTTTATTTGCGAGTTCATCGCGCCAACGTTAATGTGGGTTAAATAAAGCCGTCGTGACATTCTGAGATCGCGATCCTGAGATAATGAAATTACCGGGGGAAAGGTGAATCCTTTTTCCTGCCCTCTCTCTCTCTCTCTCTCTCTCTCTCTCTCTCTCTCTCTCTCTCTCTCTCTCTCTCCCTCTCTCCCTCTCTCTCTCTCTCTCTCTCTCTCTCTCTCTCTCGTCTTTATTTCTTCTCGCTTCGAACGAGTCGCTTAGGAGAACCGGTACCGCTCTCGTAGAAGGAAATTTATCGAGCATGTACCGTCGTCGTCGTATGCTTCAACGACAGGGTAAACGTTTTCCCGAGTGCATATCTATAATTTGACGAGCACTTTGCCGTCACTTCGCCGTGTTCGCATTTGCGGCTGGTGCATTTTCTGATGCAAACGTGCTCTCGTGCCCATTCGTGACATTATCGTAATTCGTGAGGTATGTATAAAGTTAGTGAGAAAGAGGCCGACGCACAATAACGCCGACCAACGAACGTCGGAGCGCAGGTTGACGGGAACTTTTAGGGTCGAACCTGGTGCAATTACGATGAAATAGATTTTCGCCGTGGGACAGGTAAACGTTGCAACGGAAACGGCGGCGGTTTCCACGTGTTTTCCGAAATCTATCTCGCGTAGTCGAGATAAAGCATGCAGCCGAAACGAAACGGTCGCCAAACGTGTCGTTATGTGTCGAGCAGATATGTATGCATCTTGGACGTCAAGTCGCATGCACATTTGCGAGAAAACTCGGAGACCTTGGTGCACATACACGTAACGTAAAACACTTTACGAGCAAACAGGTGCGTCGTAGTCGCGTCGACCGATCCGGGGATTCGTTTTTGCCCTCCATTTCCTTCTCTCGTTGCGGAGATCTATTCGATCAATTGTGTTAAATCGAAAAATGGTCGCTTACAAACGTTCTCGCGGCATCTCGTCGAATTTTTCGGGAAGCGGTACACAGAGTAAAAATGTATACTGTATTCAAGTAAATATTATTTATTTTAAGTATCATAAGTTTGTATATCCGCAAATATATCATAAGTTTATCACAAGCATTAAATTTAATTGAATATATTCTGGATTTTAGTAAGTGCAGTATTTTAGTCAAGAATATTAAATTAAAACAAAAATTTGGTTTGCTTACTACAAGAGTTGACGTAAAGTAAGTTTGATTTTTCTTTGATACAACTTTACAATATTCTTGAAGAAAAAATAAATTCTTCTCTTCTGTACGTGATAATGAGATTTTCTAACACTTGTGATGAGT